AATAGAGGGTGAAGTATGTGGCGTATAACGGGCTTTTCACCTGTTTCAGCGACATTTGCGCCGATATAGTCAACAATATGTGAACATTCTCGGGCCCACATGGGAAGTGGGCAATTTCTGTGGTGCATACATGAAGGTGCAGGTCTATAGAGCGTGCTAGGAAGAGTTTTGGCCCAATCCTACTGATGCCGCACTTGATACATTACGCACGGCGTGCTCCTTTCTGGTCGCTGCCTGTCGCATTGGGTCCGACGCACGTGTGCTGGTGGCAGTACGCACTATGCTCTCCAGCAGTTCGATCCACTCATGCTTGGAAACACTTAGACCCTTCAAGTACATGTGCTTACATGTGCCAATGCATCTTAGTGCTCACCATCATCTGCATTTGGATTGTAGGGCACTGGTCCAAGAATTGACACCTCTGCAAAGCCTCAAGCAGATTGACGTGACTGGATACCACATCACAAGGTATGGAGCTGAAGCAGTTGTTTCTTATTTTGCGCTTGTACACGGACACAACATGTATGGTTAGCCTCACATGAATATTTATACGTATTTACTGATTTAAGTTTGAATGATGTTTAAATGGTTCTGTTCTGTGTGAAGGGATGTAGAGGTGTGCTCATCATATTTTGTGCTTGACCGTTTGCCCGGTGAACCATAAGAACTCTTATAGTACTGTACCTGCATGATATGTTTTTTTTGCTTGCATCTTTTCGGACCGCTGATGAATCTCCGTGCTTGGCATCCAAATACGGCAATTGTGTATCATACGAATGCTTTATACCCCCATATTTATTTGGGAATATAGTTTGAGTGCTAAGGTGTTACCTGCAAGGATCTCTTCGTCATGGATTTTATTCTTGATCTGCAACCGATAATTGCACCCAGAGAGACGGAATACAGTAATGATCCGCACATGATACCTGCATTCTTTGCACGGCTTCGTGGTAAGAAGTGACTGATGATTTATGGCTCATGAACTCGTTGGCATGATTGTTCGAGACATCTCTCGGTGCCATTCTGAGCTCCAATCACGCCGAGACTCAGAGGCTCGGAATGCACACTACAGTTGGTCACATGCCGCATGCATGCCTGAAACGAATTATGCGGCAATCAGCCATCGGTCATCGTTATATATAGAGTGACTGTTCATCTACAGCTGATTGAACACTACATTCAATTGTACTAATTGTTCCGGTGTATCGAACCTTTTGCACTATCTGCAGTGATCTGACGGAACATCCGCGCGAGCAGGTCCGACAAGCCTTGGTCAAAGCACTGCCGAAGACAACAATCAGTGCCCTTGGAAGCTGTACTGATCGAGTCCACCCGGACGAATTCTGGTATGCACAGAGCTGTGGAAATGTGGGTTCTGTTGAACCATATAGCAATATCTGGATTTTAAAATTTCAGGAAAAGGGCGCGTGGGGGGGGGGAAATTTTAGTTGGGCATTGGTTTGCGCTGTATCAATTGAGGAACAAGGCTCAATGGTATGCTTGTATCTGCATGTAGACATTTTGTGGAAGTAAACTCTATACATATGCATTTGTAGATATGCATCTTCATCGCAGACATACATGCGCGCATTATCCGGATCTCAATATTTTCAGTTGTATATGTTAACTACATACGCGTGAACCAATTCGCTGTCTACTGCGCTGGCATTCCATATCAATTTATACGTGATCGGTATTGCATGTCCTTCCTATTGAATATGATCATGCTATATGCCGCAATAACTCGCACCGGCGTCATTTTCAAAGTTCTATACATGTGCTTGATCACACTCCACATCCAGGTAATGGAGCGTCCACACCACTCCTGTTTTTCTATCTCTACTATGGCTGCAATGTCGATCACCGCATAGACGACAGCTACCGCGATCTCAGCCATGTGCCTAGATATATCGTTGTGTTAAGTTGCCTGCCTGACGGGTATTGCTCCCAATGCCTGGTAAATCATCCCAATCGCGTGGCAGTTTGTGGCCATTGGTGCATTGAATGTATCGATGGAAGTGCAAGGGTACCGACAGCACCCATATGACTATTTCGCAGGCGAATGATTTTCATTGCTTCAGAAGAGAATAATTATATTTTACTTATACTAAAGCAATCCAACGTGGATATTAAATGAATACCATTTCTCCACGCATAGAATCATGTCTCTCACTTCACAAGCAAGCGTACTTTTGAAAAATAAGTTTTCAATATAAACTGAAGTTGTATATTATATCTAGAAAGAACTATAAATCGGGTTTGTACTGTGTGAGAATTTATAATATTATGAAATCTTTAACTGGCTGTAGTATTTCTAAGGGTGTGCAGTGTAAATTCAGTATCTAGATATCTACCTCCATCTTGACACCGTTGTACAAGAAAGCTCGCACGTACACGACGTAGTATTAAATGAAATCAGAAGTTCTGTGTATTGTGCAATAGGCAGTACACTAGGGTCCAAGATTAGTACAAATATAAAAGCGCGACGTTCTATGTATTGCGTAGTAGACAGTACACTGAGGGAATGGACAACTCACTGCAAGATATAGTACTATGCAAAAGTTTTAGG